AAAACAAAAATACAAAGAAAAAAATATAAACAAACGATTGATCTAGATGGATTAGAGGTGGAAGTTAGAGGTAGATGGACGGATGTATGCAATGATACGTCACTTCTAAATTACAATATGAATGTTATGAAGACAAGGGCGCGAGGACAGACGGATTGAGTTATCTATATGTGTGTGTTTCTTTCAGTACACCGTAGAACCTGAACAAAAAAAGTTTTTCCATTGACTACAATAGTTTATTAAAACAACTTTTATCAGTATTTTATGAATATAGTGTAAGTTACGTATTCAGAGAAAGTTACTCATGTTTCTTCCTTAGTTTCGGTTTTATGATTTTTTTATTTTATTTTATTTTTTTTCAAAGCTTGATTTTTCTTCCAAAATTGTACAAACGCATGTCATTCCGGAGTGATTATCTCAAAAACAAGCTCGGGGCACCTCATTTTTCTTGCATTTTTGAAATCAGCATTAAATTTCAGGTTAAGAAAGTTTCAATTTTCAATTTTCTGTTTATTTTTTACCAAAGTAGTCAGYCACCTTAATAGAGGTATTTCCCGTTTTTAACCCTTTCTATGAACAATTAAAAACGAACAGGGTATTGCCAAAATAAGAGACAACACTGAACATTTGCTTACTTCATAGTCTTTGATCGTAAGCTTCCTTTGTTGCTTACTTACCCTTAAAAACTTGACAAGCTTGTGAATATCCCAGTATTCTGCGGACAACTCGGGTCTTAACTTTCTAGTGTGTTCCTCATCGACTTCACTTTCTGACGAGCTTGATGATGAACTTTCGTCACTCGAGTACCAATGAACACTCTTCCCAGACCCCTCGCGGTGCGTAGTCGTCTTGGACAATCTTTTTCTTTAAAACAAAACAAACTTTTTTTAGTAATGTTACTGTGTCAGTACAGCAATAGACCTCTTTACTTTGGGCTTATTTTTTTCCCATTACAAACATTCCCTAGAGTATCCTCTTTGTTGCACATGAGAAGATAAAAATTAACATGTATACCACTTAAACAAGTGAATCTTATTCTCAAGAGAATGACACACGTGGTCTGAAATAAAAAACATTGCAAAAATAAAAGACGTCTTTTTGCATACCTTGCTGAATTGTTGGGGCTCTTGAATTTTTTTGGCCTAGACTTTGGCCTTGTCTGCTTATCTACGTCTTTCGCATCTTTCCTGTTATTTTGGATACAAAAAGAAAAGTCTATTTGCAAGAGATAACTAACATACAGATCGAATATACCTTATTAATGGTATAATGGGAAGTAATAGAACAAACCCACCTGGACGTGCTGAGTTTTCCCATTGCAGACCCAATGCATGGGATCAGCAGCAGAAAATAAACTATCAATCACTAAGGAATAATTTTCTTTCACACTTTACATTCTCTAAACTTAAATATACCAATTAAAAATACTCAAACCTTTCAGTGGTTTTCCTATCTTCTTTTTCTTCTTCTTTATTATACACGTGTCTGTTGGTCTTTTTATCAGATGACTGTGTACTTCTCTTTTCAGGACGACCTGACGCATGCGCAGACCTTCTTTTACTAGCCTCCTTGTTGTCTCTTTCTTCTGCTAGTTTTCGTCGCGTAGAGGAAGTCGCTGATGATACACTTTTATTCCTGAATAATATACGTTCAAAATTAGAGTTAATCATAATTTGTTATACTCTAGGTATCTCACAAACGTCACTGATGAACTGATGCAAGAAAGTAACTAACAAAGGTGGGATCTCGGTTGATTTGGTAGGTCCTGGTACAGGCCGTTAGCATGATGGCGTCATTTTACTCCCCCTACCAAAATGCTTCGCGAATTTTCTTTCATTTTTAAATTTGCATTTCTTCATAGAATAGTATTTTTAGAAACAAAATGGCGGCTTCATGAATATTCATAAACTCAAATGAACAAGTTTTGCATTTTTGAACTCTACATGTGAAATTCTTTCAAATGCGCTAGTTAGAATTTTCCATTGAGGAGTATTTCGGTTTTCAGTTAAAATTGATGACGTCAACTTCCCGCCAAAAATGTCGCAATTCAAAAAAGTAAAACGATAGATTCTGAGATTTGTTAAACTCTTCAATGTCACCAAGTTTCAAAAAATTTCAATGACATACCAAAACGTTTTGCCAAAATGAAACATTTTTTAGCCCTTCTAGCCCGACGTGGCAGTCCAAATATTACACCGTTTTATTGATGTCACTGAGTTCTCATGTAATACATAAGCTCATAGACATATTTCATTTTAAAGTATACATTGTTGCTTTACATACCTTTCTGTATTCTTAATTTTAATTTCCTGGGTCCTCGTGTTCCTGTTCGGTTTTTCCTTGACGTCTCTTTTTGTTCCCTTGGTGTCGGACGCACGACTGGTACGTTTGGATCGATCTTTTTCTCTAAGACTACCAGACTCTTTCGTGCCAGCCCTTAGTCACATACAATGAAAAAACAGTCAATGAATATTTCCAATGAGATTTACAAACCACCATGCAAACTTTATTAAGGAAAATTAACCCATTTGCCAAGTTCAAATACACCCCTCTTCTGTCCCGTAATACCTCGAAAATGAGAAACTAGCCTATATCCGAGAGCGTGATGCTGTTTCAATAGGAAATGCACAGGGAAAATTTCGAAAAGTGCAACATTGTGATCTTGGTGCGATATCGTACACACCCGTTGCTATCCCACAATTCATCAAAAATGAGTAACGAGACTCTTTGAATAAGCAAAATAAAACGAATTTCCCGAGACAAATTGCGCCTGGAAAAATGCGTCTTAACTTCCTCAAGTGCAACATTTCCCCCTGTGCATGGTAGACCCTACCATTACCCAAAACACCAAACCAAAGTCCTAGATCCATACGTCCATGTGACATATTAAGCCATCCCAAGGTTGAGGGAAAAACTGGATCGAGTTTGCAATCGCAATTCAATGTGGTCTTTTATAGGGGAAATAGACGCCATCTCGAAAATATATCTCTTAAAATAGGTCCCGCAATGCATTGGAATGCACAGTCGACCAAGGTTTTGTCCTCAACCTCGGAATGGCTAATAGTTTGCAGTATCACGTGATACCTACTAGACTGTACATCCTCAGTAACTCACCTGTTACAGTTGCACAATGCATTACAATGCAAAACCGACCCAGTCTTTTTCCTCAACTTCAGAATGGCTAATAGTCTGTAGTATCACGTGACACCTTCTGGACTATA